TAAAAGAAATCAGTAATTTAGTCCAAACTATGATCTATTCTCAATAAATTTTCTAAGACCGTAATACTTCTGCATAACTTGTTTTGCATTTGTCAGCCGGAAAACGTTTAAACTTGTGAATTCAATAAACTGACAGAAATGAACAATTACTCATTACGGATAGCAAAGTATTCATAATCAAGTGAATTAATGATCACTTAAGATGTTTTAGTAGTTTACTGAATTCCACTTAATACTTTATTTGTATCGATTATTTAAGTCTTCCTATTGATGATTACGACTGCAAATGACCAGTCTCTTATTTGGCATACATGCACCCTTCTTGGATTGCCTCAATATTTCCATTAATTCATAAGGATTAAAAGATAGAGATTGATAGTGGTTAGTCATAGAATCAAGAATGCGCGTTTCATCCAATTCGGGACTTATTGTCTTCAAGTAGCTACATCCAAGAATTGATGTTTAATCCACGACTTGAGCACCATATCATTCACTCCAAATGCCGTCACGTTATCCACTTAGCCACTGTTCGAGAGAATTTTTTGACAATTTAGATGATACATAAATTTTTCTCGTACTCTACTAACTAGTATACTATTCTTAATCTACAATATTTTATCACATACATCTATTATTGATTTAATTTCACTAGAATTTGTCTTCACATCTGTTAGCTAACTGAAATAAGTAGTAAAACAATTTTTATTTTTGTTAAAATTTCAATTTTGGCATTCTATTGATAATAATAATAATAACAATAATTAAGATATCACTATAGTCTATTTAAAAGACTTGTGTTCGTTGTAGTTCTAGTTATGAAACATATATCTTTAAAAAAAAAACACAAACTATTTCGTTGGTCATATGTTATAGCTTTTAAGTTCTGTTATATTTGTCAAATCTGTCATACTAGACAACGTTATCAGTGTTACCTATTGATTGTTTTAATAACATTTCAAGAACTAATTAGAATAACGAGAGATATTTATAAACTGCAGTTGAATCGTCATTATCATGTTTGATGGTAGCTTATTTTTATTGATGATTTATATTCCACTTTTTGAGTGTTATTATCTACCAAGTTGAATTTCAGATAACCAACTCCAGTTCAATGAGTAATATTTCAAGCTATTCAAGGTGTTGAATAAACTCTATACATATGTAGACTGGCTTTAGAAACCTTTGAACTAGATTAATTTATAGCACAAATCAGTGGAAAGCTTTACTACCGGCCATCATTTAATCTATTATATATAGAGTGATAATCTTAAATCTTTATTCTTTTAACACTTTTATTAACTGTATGGAGGCAGGAGATGAGGTTTATGATTAAGGACTACTACTACTTCTATTACTAAGAAATAAGCATGAAATTCAGGAAAATAACATTCGAATAGGAATTTAATAACATTATTGATAATCAAAAAAAATTATTTGACATTGACTTGATCACCTATTTGATATTTGTTTATTCAACCACCAGCAATAGGCAAAATATTACCTAAATTAAGTTAAATTCCTTAATAATATGTGCTATGTTGAAGCGATTACGAGTTCACTGAGTCTGCGGACGGAACAAAGACTTATAACCAAAGATCAATAAGCTAGCTATTTTGATGCGTCCCAGCTTCGCTAACTAGAGAGAGAAGTCGATGTCCAAATGGGGAATAAATATATTCCGCAAGCAGGCAGAAGCACAAGGGATTCAACTGGCATAAATAAACGTATACAGACAACATAAAACTGTTCTTGGGAAGCTTTATAAAATAGCATACTGAAAGACACAACGGACCAATAGCGTTTAAGATTTTCCCAATCGGGAAATACTACGTGAAGGTGAGAAGAGCGCTTTTGGTGCGAAAACAAAGAAATTCGAAATTTGAAAATAAAATTACAAAAATAAGGTATTTACCAAGTGAGCTTTGTAGATCTAACATCCCCTACAATGTGAAACATTGAACATTTTACAGAAATTAGTATTTGAATGAGACTACCTTGAAATTCACTTCTGCTAATTCATCTGGGTGAGAAATGAAACTTGTGAAGACAATTAGATTTCAATGATTAATATAGTTGTATGTGATGACTGTAGTTGATCTGAGCGTAGTTAAATAGGTCAAAGTGACCGTTATTGCTTTGTATTGAAGAGCACAAATTTATTGCAGTTTTAAGTGTCAAAATGGTCGACGAATAATGTATACGAATAGATAAAATAGCGTGGAATAAATACCGATCATGAAATTTAGATAGGGAATTATGAATTGAAAACAGCTATATGCATAAATTTGGCAACTTACTAAGGCGAGTATATAAAATGTTTATAAGGTATCACATTACAAGGTACAATAAAGAAAATTGAGAGAGTGCGGTGGCTTGAAACATGCATTGAAGAAAATGAACGTTGATCAGATATCCATTCTTGAACTGACAACTTTCAAACCCTTATCATCAGTTGTTAAGTCGGACTGTCTTTGATTACTACTAAGCCTAAATATCTATTGTATTTGCGCTGTAATGGCGACAACACATTCGTTATCACTATCCAATAGGACTGGCTGGTTAATACCGTTAATATGATCGACAGAGTCTTCGACGACATGAAACTTATAAACCATAATTCTTGAGTATGTTGATTGCCAGAGTCAATGCAAGAAAACTGGAGACTCAGATATATCCGAATTCATCCAACCAAAGAAAAAAAAAGCTCAAAAAGTAACAAAATTATCTGCCTACAAAGTTTAGTCAGATGAGCGAAGAAACAATGTGGTATACATACAGTACGGAGTGATAAAGAACAGCTATTCAAACAACTTCATTAAAAAAACATAAATCAAACTCATCAACCATAAGGCGATCAAGACTGAAAACCAATAAACTGATCATTATAACATATATAAATAACACATCGGAAATGGGAATACGATTATTGAGGCCGTTTGCAACAGATATAGAATATAATTAAGCAAATCACTTTAATCAACCCTAACCAAACCTAGGGGTGACATCATAAAATGACCATAACATCACTAACAAAATAAAGTATTCCCAATGCTAGAAATATTACACATTGGACTACGTAGGCAACCTCTTCATCTTCATCTGCATGAGCACTAACATAATATTTTCAATTGGAAAGTTGTAGGCACACGTTCGATCGAGCCCACATAGCTTTATCTAGATTCTGGACAAGCCAACTTTTCCATTCTCCTCAAGCTACATTTTCATCCCGTCAATTATTTGCTTATCAAGTTTTACTGTATTTATGTAAGCATATTGTTGTACATTTCTTACCTTACTCATCACACGTCTGTAACTTCATTCATTAACCATTATGGACGGATCAAAAATGTTGCATATTACAATTCTTTCTTTAAATTGTATTAAATAATACACTTCCTCATCTTTTCAATGAAAGTCAATGAAGAATATATTTCCAGACATAATGGTTATAATTTAATTATATCACTGGGTTCGAATCCTGTGAGTGGGATCGTGGATGTTCATTGCTGAGAAGTTTCATACTAGAACAAAACGGCTGTCCAATACTTCCAGATTTTTCGTTATAGTCTAGCTTAAATTGACTCATGACTTTAATTATTAAAACTACTAAAATCTCCACAAAACATCATTCTGATAATAAATGTCGGTTGAAGTTACACATTAACACCATTGGATGTCAGCTTAGTGACCTATTGATTAGGCGCTCGCGCGCGAAACTGGTAGGTCCTGGCTTCGAATCTCACGATGCGGGATCGTGGATGCGCACTTCTGAGGAACTATACAGTAGGACGAAACAGTCGTTCAGGTTTTCCATGGTGGTCTAGCTTCAATTGATTCATGATCTCAACTAAATATATTCTTTATTATCTTGTGTTGAATATCTAGAAAAGAAGATACACAAAAAACACTCTACTAACTATTAACTAATTTAATTTTTGATTGAGCCAAATACTTACGCCTGTTACCCCTCGTAGTGAAGCATAGGCCATACACCAGCACTCTCCATCAAACTCTGGCCTGAGCAATCCTTTCCAGTTCTTTCCAGTTGTTATTCATCCGCCTGTACTTTTTCTAGAGTTAATGCCGGTCTCAAGCTCGGGTAAAGTAGTATGGTCGGGTATGGGGTTAGCGAACCCATCCCGTAGAAAAACTAAATCACTAAAAAAAACGCTAACGAGAAAAAAAATTTTAAACCAAATAATCAAAATGAATAAAACAATTTGATATTTATTTTTATCAAAGTAAAATTATATTTAACCGGTAAGAATATCATCTCCATTTGATAATACACTTCACCATAAGCGTGAACACCATTTTCTTTATTGATTATGATCTATTTATTCGAAAAAGATACAACCAAAAAAAACACACAAAAAACGAGAAGAAAAAAACACAAAAAAAGGGTGTTAAAAAATCTAGGATGCTTTAAATTATGTAAAACTTTATAATTTTCAAATAAATGTATCAAATTTCATTGCATTGAACTCATTTTAATACCATTGCATAATGATTACCAAAAAAAGATCTATGATATGTTGTCTTTTTTTCTCTTTTGAAAAGATCTTCTATATGTGCAATATATTCTCAGTTTTAAATTTGTTTAAAAAAAATTGAACAATTTAATGAAGATTGAACAATAGAACAAACAATCGGTATTTCAATGTTTGTTTTATTTTATTTTTTTTGGTTTTGTTTAAATTTTCATTGAAATATATGTGCACAATTTGAATGTATCGAATATAGAATAAGAATCCAATCAAATTTTTTAAATAAACTATTTTGTTGGACATTACTACAATTGTATTGTCCCAATAATAATAATAATAATAATAGAAAAAAATAATAATACAAATTCACAATAGACATATGGACTAACGTATATCATTTTAATTAATTCTATCATTTTAATTCTATACAAATAGAATTAAGCAAGTTTTTAAATTGTTCAAATTGTTAAATTGAAACATTTAAAACAAAATTACCAGAGTTATTCATCTAATATGTCAGATATTCGTAGTAAAAGTCATAGTCTATCTCATATTTATGAACATGATGGATTTAGTAATTATTCTTTAAATCAATTAAAATTGGATAAAAAAACAAAACAATCTGTTTATTATATGTGTCATGTTTGTATATTAAAACGTAAAGAAGTAAATTTAAATGATGAATTAACACAAGATAAAGCAGAATATCTTATTGAAAGTAGTTTGAATAAACGTTTAGCACATTGTAATTTATATTGTTTACAAGATCAAATACGTTTTGAAAAGTCGAAACAATGTGGTACAAATCCACCAAGAAGATTTATATTATATAAACATATTAAATGTATATATATTTCTGAAAGTAAACCATATACTTTTATATTATGTACAGAATTTGATAAATCTAAGCATCGAATCTATGAAGTTTATAAATGTAAATTATCACAAGATGTTAAAATGCTTTATGTATTATTACAGAAAGCTTTAAAAGATAAAGAATTTTTATTAAGAGAAGAATTAAAACATCCAAAAGTATCTATTGGATTACAATGTTGTCTAATTTATGATACAACTATGAATACTGCTTCTAATATCAATAATTCTATATATGAAGGTAATATCCATTACAACAACAATATTAAAAGACAATTATTTATGCCAGTTAGTAGATCATTGTCTAGAACTAAATTTACTGGTGTTACTTCAAATATTTATGAAGAACATTCTAATGAATTGATTCAAAAACAACCTATCACTTCAACTTCACCATCTAGATATTCTAATCATTCAATGGAATTATTACAAAAATTGAATAGTTCCTACAATCCAGATGGTGAATATAATAATAATAATGCCTGGCATAAATCTTTAATATTATTACAGACGGATTTTATAAGAGGTCCTCGAATAAATGACATTGGTCCTATTTACATGTTTGTAGCAAGACAACTTAAATAACCTTTAATAATTGAACTACCATTAAAGTGAATAGAATATATTTACTGAACTTGATTCTTCAAACAAACTTGTCTTTTTAAACTCTTCTGAATAAGGACCTATACTTTCATAAACTTCGGTATGTTATGGTTACATTTACATAACTAATCACATTACTGTTTAGTAGCTACATATTATTTATCAATGTTTATTACATATGTTATTGAGTTAATTAATTGTTTTAATTTTCTAATTTTAGCTATTCATTCACTTCCTTCTTTTTGGAACACTTCAAATATACATTCAACTAAATCAATTTACTTTAATGGTTAAAAAGTATTACCTAATGTACTAAGCAAATCTTATATAGACTAGTAATCTGTTCAAGTAACTGATTGTAGTTGTATTTAATCTATATAACGTTATTTGTCAATACTTTCAATCGTTATGGAGTTGAAAGGAAATTTGTTATTTTATTTTATTTTTTTTAAATAGTAAAATGCATTTTTTTTCTCTATAAATTTTTGATTTACCACATTTTATTAAATGGACTTATTGGTTAGAGTTAATAAATGAAATTATAATAAACTACATGATAATTACATTTTCTTTGTTCTATTCTGTTTGACATTTAGGATGTTCATTGCTAATGAATCTTTAGGTAGTATGAAACACTAGATTACTTACTTGCTTACTTACTTATGCCTGTCACTCCCAGTGGAGTATAGGCCACCGACCAGCATTCTCAAACCCGCTCTGTCCTGGGCCTTCTTTTCTAGTTGTATCCAACTGCTCTTCCTTCTTCTCATGTCTGTCTCCATTTCTCGGCATAATGTGTTCTTTGGTCTTCCTCTTCTTTTTTGGCCTTCAGGATTCCATATGAGGGCTTGTCCTGTGACGCAGTTGGGTGATTTCCCCAATGTTTGTCCTAATCACTTCCAGCGCTTCTTCCTGATTTCCTCCTCCACTGAAATCTCTTTTGTTCTCTCACACAGTAGGTTGTTGCTGATAGTGTCTGGCCAATGGATCCGAAGTATTTTGCGTAGACGACTGTTAATAAACACCTTTATCTTCTGGATGATGGCTTTCGTAGTTCTCCACGTCTCCGCCCCATACAGTAGAACTGTTTTGATATTTGTATTGAATATTCTAAATTTGGTGTTGATTGACAAACACTTGTTTTGTGTTCAAGATGTTCTTCAATTCTAGATATGCTACTTTTGCTTTGCTGATCCTCACCGTCACATCTGCATCAGACGCACTGTGTTCATCGATGATGCTTCCCAGATATGTAAAGGTTTTCACATCCTCCAAAAGTTCTCCGTAAAGTGTAATTCGACTAGGAAACACTAGATTAATAGTGCTTAATGTTTTCTGTAGGATTCAAGTAAACTTTATCTATACATATTATGTTAGAATCATAAGCTATATAGTGACTAGCTTCGTGACAGGTTCTAACAATTCTGATGAGTTTTCATGAGTAGTAAAGATAAGTGATATCTAGAATGAAAAATATATAATTGACGAAATGAGAATAATCATTAGCTATGTCATAAACTTTCTGAATTCGGAGAATATTTACAGCTAAATTCTTAATGAGCATTTTACATGTTTCATACTACTCAAAGCAGTTAATTACTAGTACCACAGTTCATACATTGCAAACTTTTCAATGGAGGCGCTTATTCAATGGCTTTGTATTTATCTAAGTGATTGTTGGAATGTTTGTGGAAATGAAACAGTTTGAGATCAAAATAAGTACTGAGGTTTTATGTCAGTTGGTTTCAAATAAAAATCAAGCATAAAATAAAATACTGTTTGAACTATTGTTTTATGAAAATGAGTTTACTTGATGATAGAGTTGGTCATAGCTTAAAATAGTCGACAATGAATTCTTAATAACCAGATCTGTTTCGTTTTAATTGAGAACTCTGGCGTAGTATGAATCCTCAGTATTACATATGTTTGAGCACAGGACTTTTAAGGAACAAGGTAAATACTGTTATTGAAGATTAGTGGTTAACAATTCAACTTCAATGTTTCTGTCTGTGATGAAAAAGTTATTGAAAGTGATCAAATATTTATGCATAATGAAATTTCATTAATAATTGAGAGTGTTGTTCAAATAAAAAGTCATACAATAAGGAAGAAATTTTTGTCGTTGATTTGTAAACTGAGGAAACACAAAATAAGAAAACATCACTTTTAGATAAATTAGTTTTATTGGAATTAATACACAGTAAGTCACTAAGTTAAAATAATGATGGGTTTTTAAATGTCATCTTCAAAATTCTTTGAATTTTGTTTCTATGATGGAAAAACCATGCTCCAAGAAAACACAGCTAATCGCTTTGTATATACAGATCAGAGTTTGGGAGCTCGAAAGAAGTGCTATGGTGAAAAATTACTCGACGAGGCAATGGTAATGCATTTTATCAATAATTAAATGTATTGGACTGTAACTTACGATATCACAGATAAATACAATGATAAATAAGATCATTTAAAAAATCATTTAATAAAATTGAGATCCTCAAATTGTAAAAAATTTTTGATTGAATGATATTATCAAGATTTTAAATGAGCAGTTACATTTGCACTTTGATTGATTTCTATCTTACTAAGCTATGATGCAAGATAAATGCTCAAAATAAAAAATGAAAATTTATACAGATTGCTACTTGCTTATATTGATATGTTCTATCTAACAAGCCTAGGAAAAGCTTTACAGTAAATAGCCGTTTTATTCCAGTTTTGAAACTTATCAACAACAGGTATTCACAACAACTACAAATACATTTGGAAATTCTTTTTTATTGATTTTCCAGCTGAAATAAAGGGACAATAAAGATTATTCTCAATTTTAACGAATATCCACTTAGCTTTATACTTTATGTATATTAGTTAAGGTAAGAAAAAGAAAAATATACTCTAGATTAAGTTTAAAAACACAAAGTTCAGCAAAGGGATCTCTTTTCAACGAATTTATTATCAAGCTGTACAATCGTATATATATATGAAAATGTTTTGTTAAATTACTAATTCCATGAGGAAATGTGAACACTAATAACCAAGATTATGCTTTCCGTAATTGTATTCGAAGAACTCGAGTTCCTCAAGAAAACTTTGATGAAAAATGGCTACCCAGACCGATTCATAGAGAAGAATATGAATAGAAGTAGCGTCGATAGGAATCCTAGTTATTCAGTCCCAAAGAAAAACTTTTATAGAAGTCTAGAATTTAAAGGTGATCGAACATCAGACATAATTAAAAATCGTTTAACAACAACTATTAAAAGGACATTTAACGCTGCTAAACTACGAATAAATTTCACTAGTAAGAACTTATTTTCTGTATCCTTAAAAGATAAGCTTTAGTAGTCATTATAATACAAATATTCAACTGGCTGCTGAACTAAATGATCAGTATACAATTTTTCATCAGTGACTAGAAGGCATTATTTCTAATTGTCTTGATTTATTACAAAAAATTTGAAAAAGCACATGCAACCGTAAAGAAGTATGATTTTTTTTAATTATAATAAAGATAACTAAAATAACTCATAATGTCATTGAATAAGAAAAAGAGAATTCAGCGAAGAAAATTTTCTTTTCGACGAAATCATTTACTTAAGCTGTACATTCGTATATATAGTGATATGGAAAATATATGTCTACAGGAGGCTAGAAAAGATTGCATTATAAATGGATTCGACAATAAATAACAAATGAGGTGGCGTACTAATCAAGGGGTAAGGGAGAAAATAATTTATGGGTCAGATAATAGTTCAATTGACAGATATGAAGAAAAGTGACAAACACAAAGGTCATAATAATAATAATAATCTGAGTAATAATCAAGAAAACTTGTATAAGGTAATAATAATAATAATTGATTAGAGATTAAATGTAAAGTAGTAATTTAAAAAACAAAAAACCGATAATAATCAGATAAAAGTACAAAAAACAAAAAAACAAAAAACGTACCCAATGAGGGAATTAGGGCCAAGGAAGGGTAAGAGGTTGGACAAATCGTTTCTGCACGCAAAGTTCAGGCTTGAATTCATGGATTGCCAATGCCTCAGCAGTGCATAAAATATTGATTCGACCTCCCTTTGATCCGGTTCCTTTAACTCTATAGATTATTTTAAAAGACGTCTGTTTTGGAGCAATGTGTCCGCAATTGATCAAGTGCTCTTGTATCGAACTGGTTATCTTCTTACATTCACCTTTTAGGAGCCAAGCTGGATAGTGTTCAGAGATACGTTTGGAAAGCGATCGCTTTGTGCGGCCTATATAACGTGCTCCACATGAGCAAGTAAATTTATAAATACACATCGATGTGGCCCAAAGCGAAAGCTTATCCTTAACACACCCCCGAATGTTAGGCCGGCTAGAGAAAACGAATCGGAGCTTGGCTGTGTAGAAAGTTTTATTCAACGTTTTTGAAATCCGTTTATTCAGGATTTCAGCAGCCGTGTCTCCCTTGAATTCCATATTCATAAACAAGGTTTTCTTCTGCACCGTCAAAGTTATTTGTTGCTGACGTCTAGATGTTAAGTTGCTATCAACGAACCTCGGTGGATAACCATTTTTGATGAGGGTCTGTCGAAGATGAAGTAATTCTTCATTTATTGTGTCACTAGAACAGATTCTCTTAATCCTAGATGATAAAGAGTGAATTAAGTTCCTCTTTCGACTCAATGAACCCAACTATGGAAATTCGTGTATTGTCCATTCCAAGTGGGTTTTCTATACATAGATCTTTGTAAATAACCATCAGGCAATCTTTTCAAATGGACATCAAGAAAATGGAATTCGTGGTTCGATTCTGCCTCTAAGGTAAATTGACAGTTATTGAAAATATTTATTATTTCATTGTGGTCCATGTTATCATCACAAATAATGAAGGTATCATCCATATATCTCTTATATAAATGAAATTATTTCGATGTGTATTTATAAATTTTCTTGCTCATGTGGAGCACGTTATATAGGCCGCACAAAGCGATCGCTTTCCA